GAGAGATGACAACAAATGCTCCTATTAGAAAATAGATAATTGTCTCAGATCTTGAGATGAAGTGAAGAAAGACAGAAAAGAAAAACTGAGAACAAGGAAGGAAAATAAAGGAGTAGAATAGGAGAATCCTATGGTGAGGTGAAAAAAGTGGAATGAAAAGAATAAAGCAATAAAAGAGTGACATCAAGCTTTAAAATTAGTTTTCACAAGCGAAACCTGTTGTTTCTTTCTGTCCCTTCCCTACTGCTTTATGGATACAGAGAAGTATCTGAATGTTTAGGTGTTAACAATCATGGTAATAATCTTACAATTTGTAAACTTCGACTATAGTTTCTTTCCTGGGATCTTTTTTGTTCTTAACTTTGTTATTTTGTTCACAAAGAAATCAGAGCACTCAGTGGCAACCACTGCTTTCTGATAGCTTACTCCCTATCTCATCAGTTACAGGATATCCATCTTACAGAAACTACCTTAGTAAAGCCCCAACAAGACACTATCGACCACAACATAGCATGTGCCACAATGGAACTGCATCTTAACCCCCGCCCAGTGTGGTTTACTGTAGAAAGAACCAACAGTGACTCATTTTGAACCTTTCTTTCATAATACATACTATCGTGTTTTCCTGTATTTGAAGAGATACAATTTTATTAGCTTAGAAAGAGACTTAAGGGGTTTGTTAGGCGGTTAGTTGAATGTCCAATGTCTCTGGCACTAAAACAGTTTTCCTGACAGTATATCTGGTTTCTGCTTGAAATCAGAGTAGCAGTGGGAAAAAAAAATCTTATTCTGGGGCTCAGGAGACCTGCATTCTAAATACAGCTTTGTTATGAATTATGAATCTCCTTTGGCAAACTAGTTTACTCTGGGCCTCTGAAAATGAGCTGTTTGGTTTAAATGGTATCCAGATTCCTTCCAGTACCAATCTCCATGATGTTAAGGTCTGTTCTCCCTCTGATGTTGGCTGGTGGTTGGCTGGTGGATGTCAGCTGAGTAAGCCGTGGAGGTGATTTAGATAAAGTCTCCTTTCAAGAGGATGGGCTAAGGAAAGGGCTATCCACCTGAGGTTGAAGGAGACAACTCTCTTTCCTAGAGTTCAATGAGCTTCCTTGCACTCCCAAAAGGACAAACTGAAATGCAGTCATTTTTTTTCCTTCCGATTGTTATATTAATTTAATGAATAAGCAAAATGTCATATAGAGAAAGACAAATACCATATGATTTCACTTATATGTGGAATCTAAAAAACAAAATAAATGAACAAAACAGAAACAAACTCATAGATACACAGAACAAACTGATGGTTGCCAGACGGGAGGATGGGGGCGGGGGGACCGGATACAAACCAGCAGTTACAAAACAGTCACAGGGATGTAAAGTACAATATAGGGAACATAGGCAATAATATTGTAATCCACAAATATGGTGTCAGGTGTGTGCAAGACTTATGGGAGGAAGGATTCCGTCTGTAAGTTATATAAGTGTCTAACCACTGTGCTGCACACCTGAAACTAATATAATATTGAATGGCAACTATAATTTTAAACATTCTTTAAATTAAAAAAAAATTTAGGAAGTGACATGTAATGGGAAAGCCTTAGACTGGAACTCTGAAATCTATGATGGAAATCTACAGTCTCCCATAATGATAAAAACTCTATCGTTAACGTGTTATGTGGTCTTGGGTACATTATTAAATCTTCACAAACCTAAGAACATGTACTCTTAGACCTCTTCTATTTCTAAAATTACTCCTACCCAGTAGCAAATGCCAATTTAAAGATCACAAAAATTGTACAGAGCATTAGCAATATTGTAAAATGCTTTAAAACAAGAATGTATACTTTTTAAGTTTCATTCTGGAATGCAATGCTCTTTTTAATTAAGGTATAACTGATATACAATATTATATTAGTTTCAGGTGTACAAAATAGTGATTTGAAATTTATATACCTTATGAAGAGATTACCATGAGAAGTCTAGTAACCACCTATCACCACACAGTTGTTATTGACTATATTCTCCGTGCTGTACATTACATCCTTGTGACTTATTTATGTTATAACTCTAAGTCTGTACCTCTTAATCCCTTTCACTTTTTTGCCTGTTCTCCCAGCACCCAACCCTCTGGCAACTATTAGTTTGTTCTCTGTATCTATGAGTCAAACAAGAGTATTTTAAAAGAAAAATGTGTACAAGAAAATGTGTACATTAATAACAACCACTGTTCTGCTTGATTTATCACACATAAAAGGGATCTGTGGAGCCTGATTTTCATGAGAATTAAATGAGATAAATGGGATTCATATTATTTTCTATTCTACTTTTTGTGTACTAGCTAAAATATTCTATTAGCAATTTGTACTGTTGTTTGCACAGCTAACACATTATCTCACCTTTAGAAAAAAGACACCACAGTACAAAACCAACAAATTACTCAACTAAATAACTAAAAAGAATTACTGCTTTTGAATTCCAAACATCAAACACTCCTTTTGCATAATGCTTTTAGTCTAAAGCAAATATAATTTATTACTACTTGCAAGTTTCTATATAATAATGGAGTTTATTATTTAAAGTGGTCTAAACGTTACCATAATAATAGCAACATTTTTAAGGTGTTTTATTTAACTTGGTTATAAAAAATACTCTGGGGGAAAAATGCATAGATTCTTTGGGAGCAAATGCTTTTGAAAACTCTTCAACAGCAAAGAAAGGTTTCAGGATGATAACTGTCCTGTATCGAACAATTCAAAGCGCATTTGATTTTTAAAGGAATTTTTCCCCCTTTTCTTATACCTCTTATAATGAATCTAAAATTTCTAAAACTGAAAACTGTGTTTCATAACAAGTTACCATTTTTAACAAATAAGGGTCTACAAAGATTTTACATCATCTTTGCAAATATATATGCATATTTGGAAACAATTTAGTCTCTCTGAATTTCCTTAACACACATTACCTGAGAAGATAAAGGCTTATATGCAAACTGGGACATAATTTGGCTTGATATTCATTTTATAGGTAATCAAAAAATCACCTATTCAAAAAAATATATTAAATAGAATATTGTAGCATAATTTAACAGGTTAAACATATTTTCATTAGTGTTTGATTTCTTTATTGTTTAACTCTCCAAGATCAAGTGTAAAAAACACTTTCTCAAACTTCACTAGTATTAATTTATCAAACATTAAGTCAAATCTTTTGAGAACATTAAAGTTATTTTAATTATAATATTCTCATTTTAAGAAAACTATTCAACCTCTTAAATGTTAGACAAGGTCATCTATATTGGTATCTATCTTCACTATTTATATTCTGATGCTATCATGGTTTATTGATTTGAATAATTTAGGTTTTGGTTTTTATTACACACGGGCAATATTTCTTTACATTAATGTATCCATGAAGGCATGCTCATAAGAAGGCCAGGCTAAATTACTATTTATATGCTAACTGTTGTACAACAGTAAACAGTCATGAAATACAACTTCTTAAAGGGGAGAGTATTTTAAACTGCAGGAAGTGTCAATTCTTTGCTGTCAAACTCTAAACATTTACAGATCAAAGTTAAACAGTGAAATCATGCATAAAACAAGTTTCTAAGTTTTTATTTTCTGTATTTGAAAATTCTGTATTTGAAGATTACATATGACCATCTCATAACATTAGCTAATGTTTTCTAAAATGCATGTATTTTCAAACCCTTAAAATCAGTTAAGTGTTCAATAATTTCCTCCATAATTTCAAATTATTTAGTAATTTGCAAATCCTGAATTTAAACAACTGCAAAGCTTCTTTTACTTGAAGTAAAGAACAATGTAGGGAGTATGTTCAGTTCCAGAACTATGCTTAAAACTTAAAGAACAACAAACCTTTAAAGGCAGAGTACTTTAAAGACAGTCTGTGAATAAAAAAATATTCTACTAGAGTAATGACCTTAAAAATGAATATGATCCTTGATGATGTGACTACTCTCACTAAACTAGAAAGCTCCTTCAGGTCCCCCTTCATCAGCTATGCCCCAGGGTTTGTCTGAAGGCAAAAGGTAGTTATAAAAGTTTAATCCTCAAAAAATGTAGAGGATTAGATAAAAAACTCTATCTTATTTTGTTTTCTCTTTCATCTATCTACATTAAAAATAGCCTCTATCCATGTCTAGAACACAATTTTACTCCATTCAATATATTGAGTTTTGTTTGTGAATCAGGTATTGTTAAAACAGAGCTTTATCCTGCAAATAATATGGATTTATCATTTATAGTTATTTTATGCCTCTCACACTAATTATGTGATAATCTGATTTATTAATCACTTTACATTCATTATCCAATTCATCTATTTTTGTTAAGAACATTTTACAGATGGGGTAACTTAAGAGTTATTAAGCCCAACTGCTGAAGAATCACATAGCTATTGAATGGAGTAAATAATTCACACCTAGGCTGTCTGACTTTAAATCTATAAAATTAAATACTATCCTTTTAAAAATACAGATTTGAAATTTCATTCTAGACCAAAAAAATTATAATCTCCAGGAGCTGTGTCCCAAATTTTGTTTTTAAAGCTGGTGGTTTGGGAACCACTGCACTACCTCCACACAACTCTGCCTCGGTCTTACTTCTATGAACCAGTCTTGACGGAAGATTCCCACAAAACAGAGCATGACAGACGGTACTGTGGAGGGTTAAAAAGAAGAAGGAAACATGGTGCCTGCCCCTGAGAAGCTTACAATCTAAAAATATACTACCCCCCCCCAAAAAAAACTACCCCAAATATTGAGACTATAAAGCGACTGGACTGGGTATGTTTAGTAGGGACAATTCTGTTAGGCTTTTAGTAGAAGGGAGAACAGATACTGATAGAGAAGACTAACCTGAGTACAAATGGTTGGCAGTGGAAACAAGACTTGTGGAATTGTTTAATAACCCTTTTTATTAACACAATTTTAAATGTTTCAATTCAATTCTCTCTCAAACACTCACAATATTACTAACCTTCTACATTCATGGCTTCTCTCAGAACCTGAAGTTTCTTTTGTCTCTCTCGGATTCGGTCCAAAGCACTTGATATTGCCGAGGCAGTGGGCAATTCTCGTGTGTGAAACATAGGATCCATTTTCTGAGGGCCAAAGATATCCAAGGCTATGCTTCCATCTGAGTACCTTGCCTCCTTTTTTCTAGGAGTGGTTGAAGTCCGCACTGTGAGTGCCTCAGGGTGACAGTGTCGGTATCTGCCAGTCTCCCCAGAGGAGAAGTCTCTGTCAGCTGTGCAGAGCAAGTCCATGGATGAAGCCCAAATCTTCTTCTTGGGGAGCACATCAATGCCAGGGATAGCTTTTTTTTCTGGGCCACTAGTGTTGAACTGGTAAGGAGAGCAGGTATTTTCAGAATCTTCATGTCCAGAATTATTATCTGATAAAATGTCCTTGAAATAATCTTCCTCATCTTGTGTGTCTCTGATGGACAGAAATCCCATAGACTTACTAAGCCCTTTGTTAAGAAAGGTCTGATGAGAGAATGGAGACTTGTGTATGTCTAGTGCATCAGAAGTAGAGCTTCTTCCTGGAATGATAAGAATCTATCATGTATGCACAGAAGTTTTTGAAAATAACTGGAATGTAACCTTACTATTGACAATGAAAGTGGTGACAATTTTCTAAATCCTCCACATGGAGAATGAGAGATGGATGGGATGGAATGGGACGGTCATGGTGGTGATGACAATGACAGTGAAAAGAGATGCAATATTTGTATAACTTTTCATAGCCCAATGCTTTTTATCTAATAAAGTCAATAATATTTCAAACTTTTATTTTTTTGAACAATATCATTTGATATTCCTCAGAAGTGAATTACTGGTTTTTAAAAAATAGATAAAAGTGTCTGATACTATCGAGTTTAGCAGAATATTAATTATCCATGAAATGGTTTTGGGTAATAATAGAATGTATGGTTTACTCCTTTAACTTCAAACACATATTGATTCAAACATGTAATTCAAGCATGCATTACTTCAATATGAAGCCCTGGTACTCTCTAGTCATTTAAATAAATATGTTTAAAGAAGAAACAAAGAATTCTTGCTATATTCTGAATGGGGGAAAAAGATTATGGCATTTGAAATTCTTAAGTATCAAAGTTTTATTATGATTATATACTTCTTTATTGTGTTTAAATTGTGTAAAAAAGTTAATTTTTTTCATGAAAGATTATCATGTACTAACATAGTTTTTTCTCTCGAACATAATGTACCAATATTTATCAATTGGAATAAAGTACCAATTCTTATTTATTCTTTAGTCCTTGATTTAGTTCAAACTAGTAAGCATTCTAATTTTCTAAGGCAGCACTCTGTAAGTGCATTGAGACAGCAAAAATACCCAACCAGATATTAATTTTTTGAATTCATAGTTCAACAACAAAAAAATTATATATAGGGTTCTACTATTGAAAAAAGAAACATAGCCCTAGCTGGTTTGGCTCAGTGGATAGAGCGTCAGCCTGTGGACTGAAGGGTCCTGCGTTGGATTCTGGTCAAGAGCACATGCCCGGGTTGAGGCATGCAGGAGGCAGCCAATTGGTGATTCTCTCTCATTGATGTTTCTCTCTCTCTCTCTCCCTTCTTTCTGAAATAAATAAAAATATATTTAAAAAAAGAAAAAAGAAACATAGAAGAATGCTTTGTAGTTATTAACCCAATAGCCCATAAACACTGAAGTTTTCCCATGTGATTATCTTTGATCCCTCTTTGATTATTTTTTTTTTTGCTATGTACACAATATAAATTTATATTCCTGATACTGACCTCTTCTGGGAGCTCTAAGCTTATGTATTTGGAACTGCTACTGGTATATATCAGAAGCACCTCGAACTGAACATGCTTAAAACTAATCTTTTACTTCCACATCCAGAGATGTCCATTCTACCCCAGTTTTTCCAGTTTCAATAAGTGCACCATTATCAAACTACCTACTCAAAACAACAATACAGGCACCATCCTCAAATCCTTCATCGTCCTTATTATTCCCCATATCAGATCCATCAGAGTGTGCTGGCTATTTAAATCTCAAAGATCTTACTCCACGTGATCCCACCGATTCCAGTCATCACCCTACTCCCAATTAACATTATCACTTGACTGGATAATTGCAATAGCTTCTGAACAGGCCTCCCTGCTCTTCTACTTCTTCATCCAACCATCCTCCACTCAGCAACAAGAATTATCTTTTTGAAATATAAATTCCATGATGCCACTACCCTGCTCAGTGAGTCTCAAAGGCATATGATTGAACTCTAAATAAAATCTAGACTCTTTTTGGTCTGCCACTTAAATCCTTTTGTTTAATCTCCACTTCCTTTAATCCAGGCCGTGGTTTTTTTTCTCTGTTAAGCTCTCTTATATGTTAGGGCCTTTGTAGATTCTTTTTTCTCTGCCCTGGAATGGTCTACTCCTGACCTTTCTCTTGGTTAGTTGTTTCTTATCCTATAGTGTTTTTTTTAAACATGACTTCTTTACTGAAGCCTACCCTGACCACTACTGAAGTAGAGCACTTTCCAAGTGTACCATAAGTTTATCCCATATATAACAGGTACATTTATCATTCTCTTTTAGGTGATTAGTATTTACTAACAATACATTAGCAGACCGTGGTATCCTAAGAGAGCCATGTCTTCTCACTAGACATGAGGCCCAAGACTGACTGCTAATAAGGTGGTTCTTGGATAACTACTGTTTTATAAATGCTAGGTTTTTATTGTCATGTTAATGATAGTCACTATCTTTAACTACATAACTAGATGTGTACTTGCCTGATTAACACTTCACAGGTGGATACTCTATATAGCAGCGGTTCTCAACCTGTGGGTCGCGACCCCTTTGGGGGTCAAACGACCCTTTCACAGGGGTCGCTTAAGACCATCGGAAAACACATATATAATTACATATTGTTTTTGTGATTAATCACTATGCTTTAATTATGTTCAATTTGTAACAATGAAAATACATCCTGCATATCAGATATTTACATTATGATTCATAACAGTAGCAAAATTACAGTTATGAAGTAGCAATGAAAAAAATTTTATGGTTGGGGGTCACCACAAAATGAGGAATTATATTAAAGGGTTGCGGCATTAGGAAGGTTGAGAATCACTGCTATATAGTATCACATGTAGCAATAGGGTATCATGGTTGCTCCATGTTGCTGAAGCACTAGGGGAAAAAAGTTCCCTAATCTGAAAACTCAAAATGAGAGTTCAAATATAAAATCTGGCTATATAAATGAGGAAAAACATGGAAATCTAGGCTCATTTATTAGATGCTTACGTCAACTAGATCAGTGAAACCATGTACTGTTAACACTAGTGTTATTTACTTAGTAACAGTATTTGAGACTAGATAAAATGCAATGTCTTCAACTGCTTTCCAGATCTTTCTAAGCATGGCCCATGCTATTGTAATTACTTTATCTACAGGCAATCATCAACACTGAAATCATTAATTAAGTACACCTAAGGACTGTGCTCAATACCCATTGTGATCACAGGAAATGTTATTTCTCAAAGCAATGCCTTTGGATCTACTCTTAAAAGATTTCAGGTGAAAACTTTCCTGATATTTCCCATCCTGGTAGAGTTAGTACCTCCTTCCACTATACTCACGGAGCATGCTGGACCTCTATTAGGACATTTCTTCTACTGTATTAAAATTATTCTTTATATTATATAATATGTCAGCACTCCCACTCATTTCTCCACTCCCACTCCCAACTGGAACATTAACATAATATAAGGGACCATGCCTTATTTGTTTTTGTATTTCTAGTTCCCGATAACAGAGATTTCAAAAGAATGCCTGTAGAATGGGTAGATTACATAACCTTTTGAAAGCTTTGAAAACAAAAGCTTAATCCACCAGAAAGATTACTGTATAAAAACCTGGGTTTTAATTCTAGCTTTGCCATCCAACCCATGAGCTTGGGCAAGCCACTTAATATCCATGCTTCGTACTTCCTTCATCTACAAAAATGTGGACATAATTTGTTATGCCTTCTTTTTAGAGATGACAGAATAAATGAACTAATTCATATGAACTATTATGAGCTCTTCTAAAGAAGGGCAACATAAAATTCTAATTTTGCCTTTTTTTTGTTTGTTTCTGCTTTATTTTCCTCAGCATATAATTGTCTACTGTGGGAGAATTTAAAAGTTCTTTTGAGAGGAAATAATGGAACCAGAAATCAAAAGATCTACAAAAATTTTAGGTTTATTCTACAATTTAAAAAAAATCACATTATTCAAAACAGAATAAGTGATGACTAGAGGTAGATTTTCTATTTCTTAAGGAGGCACTGAGTTCAAAGAGAGGTTGCAAACACTATTAGATTATATACAATGATAAACATCTATATTTAAAATGAAACCATAAGCATTTTCCTTTTGGAGAGTACACAGCTTGCTAAAAACGAAAGGGGACAATAAATACACTTGGAAGAGCTATGAATAAACAATTTTAAGAACATAAAAAGTTTTCAGTATAAAACACATTCCATTTCAATTAGGTCGAAAAAAAAATCTCCCTGGTAAAGTACATTGTGTTTTAACTATTTTTGTTAAAAAATTATAATATTATCTGTAACTGGATATCATGTCATCATTTACCTTTCCCCTCACAAGAGACTCAAAAATTCACAGCATCTCTTAGAAGCTAACTTCAAAATGACATTTCAGTATTAAAAGAGGCTCCTTGATTCCCCATCTGTCCTCACAAATGTGTTCAAGTACATAGAAAAAGAAACGTGATATTATCAATACGCCCAAGTTCTGAAGCTATATCATGCTGATCTGATCATGGTGTAGGTTTCCACCGTAAGCTTGGCAGGAAATGTTTGCTTTCTTTCTGCTTAGTGAAGCCATTTTATCGGCATGAGCAGTATTAAGTAACAAAGTGGGGGCAGACAGCCCACTAGTTTGGGCCTTACCTTCTTTGACAGATCTCAGAGGTTAGATATAAGGAGGGACCTTTTAAGGTCATTTACTTATGGATGAAAAATTGTATTGTTAAGACTTAGTTGAACAATCAAATTACATAGTTACAAGGCATTATCCCTAAAATGGTTTGCAAGTGACGATTGAGAGTTTGAGAACTGGCACTGCTCAAAAGTAACACCAGGATTTCTAATGGAGTAATTCTAGAATTACTCCATTAAAAATGATTGTATTGCTTTTCTATGACTTCTTCAAGAACAACAGTACACTTGCTTAGGGAACATTCTTCCATTTCAGATTTATGAGGGTCCTGAACTCTGCAAAACATTTGGTCCAGATAATCAATCGTCTATATTTAGTTTTTACACTGAGAGTTTCTCATGGGTTTTAAATAAGATACCTGGGCTTGGTGTCCTAGAGGAATATTTCTTCTTCACAAGGTAATTTTTTCTTAATCTTGAAGTTTTTATATTATTATATGCAACTGACTCTTAGCTGCTAATTGCTTCTGTCTGGTAATGGCTATAACTGGGATATTACTTTTATTGTTTTTGAGATGTGGTTTTATAAACTAGTTAAAGGTAAATTAAGAAAGCCTTTGAGCAGTACTATTGTGGGAAGCTATGGCTAAGACAAACAGGGGAATGTTCTTACATTACACTTGATCCAAAAGATTATTGTTTCTTTAAGTATCAGGAACTCTAATTCTACTCAAAATTATTCTGAGTGACACAACTAAATTTCTTACAAATTCTCTTGAGTTTACATATAGGGAGGACTTTATTATCCAAAAAAGAGATAGGACTATTTTAGAGAATAAAATCAATGGAGAGACTATTTAAAGATTTCTCTGTTATTTTTTTTAAGTCATTACCATTAATCCTAGATTATCTGTGTTTGGACAGTCTGTTAGTCATAGAATTTTAAAAAGCTGTTAGACAATTATATTAAGTCTTTCTCAATATTATAAAATCAAAGTCACAAATAAAAGAGAATAATACTTTTGTTTGAAATGACACATAGTCTAAAAATATGAGTCAATATGGTGAACTATGTTTTTCTTTTTACTTTGTACAACCTAAGGTTTTAAATGGATTATCAAAAAAGATAAATCATAAAATCATATATATTTCTTTATGAAACCATTAAAATTATATTATAAATATATTATTATATATAATAGTTATAAACTTTTTTCATACCCATTCAATCAACAAATATTCATTGAACACCCACAAAAATGAATGTATTTAATTTAGTAGGTTTTCCCTATCCTTAGCATCTACATGTCTAGTAAGTTTTACTTTTATTTAAAAACATATAAAAAAATAACATATGTATATATATAATGACAAGTAAATAACTTACTGTTTAAGGTATGTTATAAAGTAGGTGTAGATTCAGTTCAATCTCTAATTCCTACGTCTAAAATATTATATAATAATGTCTATAATAATAAGATTGAATCATTGATGGTAATATATTAACACCTGAGAGTTTTTAAAATTTAATGAACTGAATATGGCAGGGTGATTTTTTTTCTTTTCTATAGATTCATAACGGATAAGGATAAAATGGGGTTGGTTCTCCTATATTTAACATTTTATTGTTAGGAAAAAACAAACTGTCTTTAAAAATTAATAACATAACATTATATTTTCTAAGTAAACAAGTGACAAACAAGCAAAAAAAACCCCACACCCCAAATTTATAACATGGGCACTTAATTCATAGTAGATAATATAAAGGAATTCTTGAAAGAGATAAAAGAATGTACAGAAAATAAGGAGGACAAAGAGAGAGAGGGAGGGAGGGAAAAGAAAGAAGAGAAAAAGGGGGAGAGAGGGAAATAAACTAGAAAGATAATAAATAAGAGAAATAGAAATAATTTTTTTTAAATCTAATGTTTAGTTATCAAAGTATGCTGTCTCCCTGAAAGACTCTTCCAGCTTGCCAATGACATTCAGCTGTAATTTCTGCTGCTTTTCAGTTCTGATGGTACACTGACTGAAAATCTGATGCATTAACAAAGTGCTGCCATTTTTAGCACCAAGGTTCACACTATATCATATTTCAAACCCTAGTATAGTTTTAAAATAAAGAAGTAAACAAGTGACAAACAAGCAAAAAAAACCCACACCCCAAATTTATAACATGGGCACTTAATTCATAGTAGATAATATAAAGGAATTCTTGAAAGAGATAAAAGAATGTACAGAAAATAAGGAGGACAAAGAGAGAGAGGGAGGGAGGGAAAAGAAAGAAGAGAAAAAGGGGGAGAGAGGGAAATAAACTAGAAAGATAATAAATAAGAGAAATAGAAATAATTTTTTTTAAATCTAATGTTTAGTTATCAAAGTATGCTGTCTCCCTGAAAGACTCTTCCAGCTTGCCAATGACATTCAGCTGTAATTTCTGCTGCTTTTCAGTTCTGATGGTACACTGACTGAAAATCTGATGCATTAACAAAGTGCTGCCATTTTTAGCACCAAGGTTCACACTATATCATATTTCAAACCCTAGTATAGTTTTAAAATAAAGGGAACCAGTTTTTTACCTACAAGAAGGTGTGCCTGTATATATAGGAACATAAGTACATTAAAGAAACACAAGAAAGGGTTAAAAATTCTTTTTGAATTGTAAAAACTAAGTTAAACAAAATCTGCTTTCTGCTTTTTTTTTACCTCCACATAAACTAATAATATATGTACTAGAAAAGAAACCTTATGCAACCAGAAATGAATTGATTATATTGATGATATGAGAGCTAAGATAACTTTTCAGAAAAAGTCATTATTCGCAATAAGTAAAATAAAAGTACCAAAGCAGACACTTAACTAACTGCATCATTACAGAATTACTCCATTATAAATGATTTTATTGCTTTTCTTTGACTTCTTTAAGAACAATATTACACTTGCTTAGGGACAATTCTTCCCTCTCGGATACATGAAAGTTCTGAATTCTGCAAAACATTTGGTCCAGATAATCAATTGTCTATATTTAGTTTTCGCAATGAGTTTCTCATTGGGTTTTAAATAAGATAGCTGGGCTCTGATTATATGATTAACTGTAAAGTTAGGCATCTTAGTTTTCTAATCTGACTACATTATCAATTAGAATGTTTTATTAGAATATATTTAAGCCATATTTACATTTACTTCTTCCCAGCCTCCATAAGACAATTTCACCCACAAAATATTTTTGTTACTATTTAGATTTTCATAATTATCAATATTGCTCAGTAAAAAGTAAAGAGAAAAAAGATAATAAAAGCCCCCACAAAAGTTCATTTCATAAATTAGCCAAGCCTGAAACTTAACTTTCATTTCGCATGTTTGGAATTCCTATTCATTTCCTTAAAAAATAAATTCAATTATTATATAGAACCCATAATTATTTAATGCTATTGGCAAATAACTAAGCTATTCTTCATCAGGTTTTTTTTTTAAACATTATATAATCTAACACAATATGTATAACTGCAAGTCACAGAATTGGTTAATCATAAAATCAATTTAGTGGTTTGTAACTAGCATTAAAAAAAGAAATAGAATATAAAATAAAGTATAGTAAAAATAATGTTGCTTTGTAAAACTTATTTCAGTAGAGTTTATATTCACAAATGTGTACTGTTTTGTCTTGCTTTAAAATGCATTTTTAATGTAAAGTACCATGATAAAGTAAATAATTTATATTATTGCTATAATAATGATATGCAAAAGGCAATGATTTACTGTGGTAGTCTTGATTATATTAACAACATTTTATGCATAATTTTAATGAATTAATACATTAAAATAAAGGTAGCGTTCCTATCTGTTCCCTGCCTCTACTTTGCATACCTATATTCTAATGATTGTCACGTCACAATTATCAGATTTTCAACCCAGGTAAGTATGATTTTGTGAAGGAAACCATAAAATAAGGTTTAAGCCAAGAAATTTCTACTATTATACTCTTACCTGTTGGTAATCCTTTTCCTCTCAATCGGTCGCGAATAGCCTGGCTTCGATCAGGTTTCTGGTCACTGTTACAGCAAAGCTGATCCGTCTGTACATAGGTAATCAAAAATCAAGTTTGACAAAAGAATCTCCCTTTTTTGTCATGGTAATATGCTATAGAATGACATTAGGTAGACAATTTTTGGAGGGTGTCGCATTAAATAAAGACATTCCACATTTGCTATTGTTAATTAGTATTCCTTGGATAAGAATTTATGTAGCTCAGTTCTGGGCAATTCATCGTCAGAAAATAAAAGGCAAGAAACAATTATCAAAGAGCAGTCTGCTAACTAGGGAACAAAGTTAGCCAAATTAAAGTAGTTAAATTGAGTTCCATTTGAAAATAGTAAACTTGAAGTGCTATTTTCCCCCAAAAAACTGGTAACTATATTCATCATCATAAGTTATATTATAATTTTTAAAATATATTAATAATGGTATAATATAGCTTTCACCTGATTGTTGCAATGCATGGAGGATACTGATTCAAATTATTTTCAAAAATAATTTTCTAGATTTTTTCCTGCCAGGAATTACTTGAGAAATGCTTTAAATAAATGGACATATTGAGGGATAGCAATTAAATCTAAACCAATGCTCTGTTTTTTTAACATATATTTTTATTGATTTCAGAGAGGAAGGGAGGGAGAGATAGAAACATCATTGATGAGAGAGAATCACTGATCAGCTGCCTCATGCACAGCCCCGACCGGGGATCGAGCCCGCAACCTGGTCATGTGCTCTTGACCGGAATCAAACCCAGGGCCCTTCAGTCCGCAGGCCAACGCTCTATCCACTGAGCCAAACCAGGTGGGGCTAAATCAATGCTCTTTTGAGTCCCCTTTATAACAAAATGTTTTAGTAATCTTAAACTTTAGTACTTTAATCAAGGGTACTTGGTTTAAAATAAGGCATGTCAAACTGGATCTAATCCCACATTATAAGGCATGAAAAGTTAGACGGAACACTGGGCTTATTCAGATGATTATTAGGGTGGAAATTTCAAAAAATAAATGGAAGGAGAGAGAATGGTAAAGAGAAATTACTTAAATCTGGCACCAAGAACATACATACACATCTGGTTTTACACACACACACACACACACACACACACACGCACGTGCACACCCTAACATTTCTCCTTTAGTGAAACTTGAGTATGGACTAAAAAACTGTTTAAGGTGGTATATTCAAGGCATTGTTTCTTACCTATAAGAAGACTTAAATGAGTATATTTCTGAAATGATGTTATCATTTAAACTATGTAAATGATGTTAGTCCAGATTGCACTCTATTGTCAGTAACTGAGGAGATAAGGACATCCTGCCTCTTTGGGAATCCCTGCTGTCATTCATTGAGCAATTACTATCAGGCAGGCGCTACCTTAGTGCTGTACATACTTTATGTCATTTAGTCCTCAAAGAACCTCATGTGGTAGGGGTTTTTTGAGGACTATTATTCTCTTGTTACATGAGAAATAGCAAGAAAATTTCTAAGAACTTTGAAGCAGCTCATCAACATTGAAATAATTATCTTCACAACTGTTCAGTAGTATGGGTAGAAGGTATGTACTATTTTTCAGATAACTAAAATTGAGGTTAAAAAACAACAACTAACATTACACCAGTGGAAGAATCAGGACAAGTAAGCTAGTCTACTGACTTTTACTCTATGCTAATCAATTTTAAGTAGGGATTATGGTCACATAATAAATTTCACCCTGAGTGAAAGATAAAGTCATTTTATCAGCTACCAGCGTCAACAACAGCCGCAGAAAAGCGTAATGGCTAACAGCATGGGCTTGGGGTCAGAGAGATCCAGGTTGCAATTGTGTCTCTGTCATTTACCATGTATGTAGCATGGGTAAGTTATTTATTCTTTCTGAGCCTTAGTTTCATTATCTTTACAATGAGAATAAAATGAAAATGACATCTTGTAACCTGGGTTGTTATGATGACTAGATGTGAAAAAGCACAAAGCCATTTAGCACAGTGCCTGGCACAAAGTAAACACTTTAAAAAATGGTAGCTGTCAGAGTTACTTCTGTCCAGGAGATGAGCAAGAGCACTGGAAAGATGAGGGGAGCATTGTTACTTCTACTTAGTAGAAATTGGCCTCTGAAAGCAGGCTCTCTGTCTTTGATCCTTCTATTCTTCTCTCCCACTAAACAACCCCACAACACACCCCATACCAGACTTATTACTGTTCCTCAAACACACCCTGCTCTTTCCTATTTCACAACTTTTATTCAAGTTTACTTCCTTCTGCCTAGATTACTTTCTCTATCTGGTCTACAGGATCTAGTTCAAAGTGCTATTTTTCAATGTTGTCATAACTTGTATCCTTTCCCCTCAAGCTCTCATAGCTTTAAAAAATTTTACTTTTAATACCCTTCTTAGCATTTTATAACTGAACAAATGGTTGTAGAACTTTTATTTAGAGCTCTTAGAAGGTAGAGCATATTCTATTGAAATTTGTATCTCCTATAGTATCTAGCACAGGTTTCATAAGTAGATGAGCAATATATAGCTATTGTAATAAAATGAACTAAATACCAAAAGTGATGGAGTCTTATCTAATATGGGCAATTATTAGATGGATAATAGAATTCTGTGGAGGAATAGTTCTTCATGAAAATAGATGGAAAAATATTACCAGCAATTTTACTATAGGAGTAAAATCAGTAAACAGGACAAAGACTTAGAGGAGGTATGGTGTGACAGATCCCTTGGACTGACCAATAAGAAACATAAGTTCCATAAGCTATGTCTCAATGTTTTTTATTTATAACGTAAAGGAATTAATGTTGAGCAACATTTCTGAGAGAGTGTTACGAAAAGATCTGAAAAAAATGATTCAAATAAGTTTGGGGTATGTTTCACTTACAAGCCTATCTCTTTTGAAAGTTAATAATACAGTCTGGTGTAATAAAGACTCTGAAAAGTTGTGCAGTGAAAACACAATTTCCCTTAAACAGTTTTTCCTCAAGCTTATTTAATCAGAGGAATTAAAAAAATGTTTGATAGAGGTCTTTAGCACAGTGCCTGGCACAAAGTAAAAATGGTTTGGATAGAGGTCTTTCAAGGATTTTTAAAATAGCTTTATCTTTGTTTTTAAAAATCACATGCAGGAATATAAACAGACAAATCAAATACATGTGGAGCAGTTGTAGTTAAGGAGGGGAAATAAGCAGCCAAGGACCCCATTCACTCAGCCTCTATTACCTGCATTCCCCTTCATTACAGAATTGAAAAGGCTCCACGAGCTACAGTTTACAGACCATTTACCTAGTTATCAACTGGCAAAGTGTGTGCAATTTGGATGTATTCCTGCCAGCCATATGAAATCCTGGTTAAGATGGCAGAACTAAACCTCTAGGGATGAGGAAGCCAGCAAGAACATGTGTGACAGTGGTAAATACAGAGCTCACACAAAGGACAGGGACACTACTCAGGGACCATAACCCTAAAAGGTAAGAATAAATTCTCATTTAGATCTAGATCAGATTTCAGAACTCAAGGTGTATCCAAACTAGGGCAAATAGAACAGAATATAGCTTAAGAAGTGCAGAGGTGGGACTATTAGATACAGTTTGTCATTCCTGGGATTCTTCATATCCAAGAGGGAAAGTGGAAAAGTCCAGGTTTGGAGCAACATGGCAGGAATACACACATGTGCCCTCTTCACCCCACCCCCACATGTACCAGGCGCTAGTGTCCAGTGAAGGAGGGGAGGATTTGGGGAACAGCTAAGGGGCCCAGACAAATAAGTGGCCATGAAAGAATAATAAAATGACAGAAAGTACATTTAAATAATTATAAAACTCATTTTAGACATCAATGAGTTTTTCACAATAGACAGGCCAACAAGACAAGAGCAGACATTTTCAGCTCTAATATGCTGTGATTCTATGACTCTTGCTGAATTAAAGATCTAAAGAATAGGTTTCATAAAATCTAGGAGACTAGGTCATAGCACTAGACTTGTAAATTTTAATTATTGTTTCAAATAAACAACATTAGAAAAAAAAAATTCAATCTCCTGTTCCTAGTTTTCAATGAGAAAATGCTACCTATAAAATATCTTTAAAGAAAATTTTGTTATATGCTAAATTTAAAAATGTGACTATAGCCCTAACCAGTTTGGCTCAGTGGATAGAGCGTCGGCCTGCGGACTGAAGGGTCCCAGGTTCGATTCCGGTCAAGGGCATGTACCTTGGTTGCAGGCACATCCCCAGTAGGAGGTGTGCAGGAGGCAGCTGATCGATGTTTCTCTCTCATTGATGTTTCTAACTCTCTATCCCTCTCCCTTTCTCTCTGTAAAAAATCAATAAAATATATTTTAAAAAAATAAAATAAAATAAAATAAAAATGTGACTATATGGCCAGGCCAGTGTGGTTCAATGAATGAGCACTGACCTATGAACCAAAAGGTCACCGGCTGGATATCTGGTTGTGGGCTTGATCCCCAGTAGGGGGCATGCAGGAGGCTGCCAATTCATGTTTCTTTCATCATCCATGTTTCTACCTCTGTCTCTCTCCCTCTCCTTTCCACTCTCTAAAAATTTTTTTTTTAATTTAAAAAAACATTAAAAATTTGACTACATGTAACAAACGGAACTGCAGCTTACCCCAGAAAGATTTCCCAGAACCAGTTTTACCAACTGTTTCACGTAGGAAAATGAAGGTGCACAATTGCTATTCCTAACGTGGGCACTGCAGGCATCCAGCACAGTCCGAACAGAAACCCGCGCGTAGATAACGTCCTCACACATTCCAAGCAGGATGCTGTTGAGATGATCTCCAAGCTTGATAGGCTGAATATAAAGAACAGAAAAGCCACATTGATAGGTGTAAATCTTACAAAATTAGCCATTCTGGAAGTCATAGGAACCACAACAAACACACTTCAAATACTTGGAAGAAATTAATTCCTTATCCAATAGTATATATTCTTTACTGCATTTTACCTTTTGATATCCCAAAAAATTGTTAGCAGATCATTAATATACATCTCCCAACATAGGAAGTATTATAGAAACACTCGGTGGTTTTTCTGTATATAAAGAAATGGAATTCTTTTTTCAAATATTTTGGTCAGCATTTACAATATATATACCATTTGGGGGAAATAAACAATTTCCTAATATTCAATAACATGTAATATATTAAATATATATTTAGTATAGTTTGATACTCTTATGATAACTTAGAAGAGATTTCAAATATTACAATGACTAAAGATCATTTAAATATGTTTTCATTATGATGGTGAAACAAAGAAGACAAAATGTGAGATTTTTTTTTTCTAGCTGAATAATCTGTAGATTATATCCAAATGTCCAATAAGCATACCAAGAAATGCAAATTAAAATCACAAAAGAAGACACCACACACTTGATAGAATGGTTAAAAAAGACTGACAATAAGGAAGTACTGGTGAGGACTGGAGCATTGCTGATGGGAGTTAAACTGATATATCCACTTTGGTTTAAAAATATACTTTCCCTGGGACCCCTTCACTTCTCCTCCATTTGGGCATTATATCATATTTTAGATACAGCTTTAGATGTAATCTCCTTTATATTCTAACCCTTTATATTCGAATTTGGGGGGGTGGGGCTCGGCCTGGATTGTGAGAGGGCACAGGCCAGGCCAAGGGACCCCACTGTTTCACAATTGGGGCTGGGGAGGGATGCACAAGGTTGGCCAGCCAGGGAGGGACCGTGGGAAGGTTCCAGGGAGTGTCCAGCCCATCTTGCTCAGTCCCAATCAGCTGGACCTCAGCAGCAAGCTAACCTACCAGTCAGAGCGTCTGCCCCTTGGTGGTCAGTGCACGTCATAGCGAGCGGTTGAGCAGCCTTAGCATATCATTAGCATATTACGCTTTGATTGGTTGAATGGCCGACCGGACACTTAGCATATTAGGCTTTTATTATCTATAATAAAAGCTATTATTATTATTATCTATAATAATAAAAGCCTAATATGCTAATTAGACTGGAGGTCCTTCTGGACAATCTTTGGGATGAAACCGCAGCAGCAGGGGCCGAGACAGAGGCGGCTGCCATGGAGATGAGGGCCAAGCCCCTTGCATGAATTTCGTGCATCGGGCCTCTAGTATGAGATAAAGACTAGAAGCAGCCTAATGGCCATCAGAATCTGAAGCCTCAGTGTTACTTTAACATCTGTGCCTGCTCCCTTAGGGGCAGTGAAGTATGATTTTTGAAGTGAAAAGAGAAAAAGTAAAGAAGTCTAAACCCTACTCTGAGACTCAGAATTAGTATTTATATGATTTTTGCACCAAAAAAGATTATCACTTTCAGTACAAGAATGAATCAACAAAGTCATTTATAATCCTCCTTTACCAGTCATTAAGTAAGAATAAACAAAGCACTCCCATTTCTCTTGCTATAATTTTTTAAGTGGCTGCACTGTTGAAACCTGAGTAGTTACTACTATGACTAAGAACATTCTAGAAATAATTTCTTTAGTTCTTCATTGTTATTTCACTCTGAGAGTGTGACATTATTAATGTGAACAACCAGCATAGAAATGCTGGTGTGCCCAACAGCATGCTGTAGAATACATATAAATTTGTGAAGAACATTTTTAAAAATTTTATTTTTCAATTACAGTTTATATTCAATATTATTTTGTATTAGTTTTAGGTGTAAAGCATAGTGGTTAGGTAATCATATACTTTACAAAGTGTTTACCCTGATATTTCTGATTCCCACCTGGTGCTATACATAGCTATTACAATATTATTGACTATATTCCCTATTCTGTACTTTATATCCCTGTGACTATTTTGTAACTACCAATTTGTATATCTTTATCTCTTCACATTTCTCACTCAGTCCCCCAACCCACCTCCCCTCTGGTAACCATCAAACTGTTCTCTGTATCTATGGGTCTGTTTTGGTTGTTCATTTATATTGTTCTTTAGATTCCACATGTAAGTGAAATCGTATTTGTCTTTCTCTGACTGACTTGTTTCATTTAGCACAATAACCTCTAGGTCCATCCATGCTGTTGCAAATGGTAAGATCTCATTTTTTTGATGGCCGAGTAATATTTCATTGTATATATTACCACAGCTTTTTTATCCAGTTGTTTACTTGGGTTGGTTCATATCTTGGCCATTGTAAATAACACTGCAATGAACACATGAAAGAGCTTTTTATAAAGTGTAAAGTTGTACAAATGTCAAGATTTGACTTACTTGGCTCTGAGGTACTTCATGATCAGCCCCCCAATATAATGTCATTCCAAGAGAATAAATATGGATCTAGGAATATAATTTTTTTAAAGTCATTTTATGATAAAACAAAATTTTAAAAACTTTAAGTACTATATATTAATAATCTTTTGTTCCAAAGAAAGTATAATACATAATTTGATAAAATCATCATTTTGTATTTTTTAATAAAAATGAGAGCTTTTAAAATAGAAAATACAACTAGAAATTATTGAAACTGCCCCCCACAATTTCCCAGCCCATCCTCTAAGCAACCATTTTTTTTAGTTCTTATCTATTTTAAAGTTTATTTATGCAAACTCAAGCAAAACTTAAAATACATTCTTATTTTCACCTTATTTTACAAAAGGTCAGAAACTTTTAAAATTGCTTGCATTTTTAATTTAATAATAGAGATATTTCCATATCAATGCTTAGAGATCTCCTCATGTTTTTTAAATACTGCATAGAAATCCATTTTGTGGCTTAGCACTGTCTATTTAGCCAATCTATTATTAATGGGCAATTAGGATTTTCCCAAACTTTTGCTATTACAAATATTGTTTCAGCAAACAGTCTTGTGATATGTCATTTTGGACACTCAGGTATTTTTCTTGAATTGATTCTCTGAAATTACAGATTAAAGGCTTAATCATCCATAGTTTCGATACATGTTGTCAGATTTCCCTACATAGAAGTTGTATCATTTTGCCTTTCTACCAGCAATATATAAGAGATTTTTCACAAGCCTTGTTCATAGAATGTGACAATCTGAAAGTGAGAAAAAAATCTCATTGCAAGCATTTTTTTCTTATTATGAATTCATGGGGTAGTAGTTGGAGAACCAAGCAGGGTTAAAAAAAAAAGATTACACACTTTTTGATTTAACAATTTTACTACTAGCAATTTATTATGTTAATATTCAAACTTTTGTGGAATGTTGTAAGAGAAACAATATTCATAGCAATACTGAATTCTCCAAGGTTCCATATCTAAATTATTACAGCCTGCTATATATACTATATTGTTCCAAATTTTTTCCATAGCCTTAACAATGAAATCAAATCTTCTTCTGGTCACAATGGCATCACCATCCTCAGACTGAATATTTCTATCATAAACTTTTCTTCATTATTCCATCAAATGAATTGACAAACTCAGTCTGCTTTGCTTCCACTGGACTGTATCCTGTATTTAGTTCTTTTCCCTATATTAATCTTAGATTCCTACACAATCTTTCATACCACCTAGTTATCCATTTTTCTCAAACTTACCCTCTGAAATAAAAAATTCCACCATATTACTCTCCTAAAATTAGGAATAGCTCACCATTGACTCAGAAGAAAGTCTCAAGTTTTGGCATTTGGAGTCTTCCTATTCAGATCTATGGCTTCCATTTCTTTCTCTAAGCACAGCCTGCCAGGTAGTAATGCGCTAGCCCAGTTGGTCTAACCAAACATTTCTCCATCACAGTGAATCATTTCACAAACTTATAACCCTGAGTGAAATGCCTATTTCTATCTATTTTCACTTGTCTAAGTTCTACTCAGTCTACAAAGCCCAACATAAATACCACCTTCGCCGTGATATCGATCTACACTAAAAAGAACTTGTTCCTCTTCTCGATTCCCAAAATACTTTTTACCTCTATGTAGCATTTACGTCATTCTGCCATCTATTGCACATTGTTCTATAGATGTTATCAGGATCAATTCTGTAATTATTTTTATCTTCCTTACAAGCACAATGATTTATACACAGCATGTATTAATACATCTTTATAAACATCTATACTAATAATAGAGGAATATGCAAATTGTCTAGGATGCCGTCACAGTAACAGTAATGACCAAATAGCAGGCTGTGCGGGGTGACAAGGCCAGCAGGGGGGTTAGTGAGGGATGACCAAACGACTGAATAGCAGGCTGCGTGGGGCGACCAGGTTGGCAGGGGGGTTGGTGAGGGACAATCAAACGACTGAACAGCAGGCTACATGAGGCGACTAGGATGGCAGGGGGGTTAGTTGTGGGTGACCAGGCCAATGGGGGGCGGGGGTAGTTGGGGGCGACCAGGCCAGCATGGAGAGGCAGTTGGGGATGACCAGGTCGGCGGTGGGGGCAGTTAGGGGCGATCAGGCTGGTAGGCAGAGGCAGTTAGGGGTGATCAGGCTGGCAGGGGGGGCAATAGGGGTGATCAGGCAGGCAGGTGAGCAGTTAGGAGCCAGCAGTCCCAGATTGTGAGAGGGATGTTCGACTGCCAGATATCCCCCGAGGGGTCCGGATTGGAGAGGGTGCAGCCTGGGCTGAGGGGACCGCCCCCCCATGCACGAATTTCGTGCACTGGGCCTCTAGTCAGTTTAATAATGGCTCACATCTTTTCATATTTTTCTTAGTTCCATAAAATTTTATAAAACAACTTTGAATTATTAATATAAATATAAATTTCTTAAAACACACAATCATTTTTAAATTTTTCTTCAGAGGGTTGAAGTAGGGTAGCCCAAACAAAACCAAGCCAAAAAAAACTTGTTACCTTTTCGACATCTGAGAGAGAAGTTAGTGATTGATTTTGAAGAACCTCGGGTGCAGTGAATGCTCGAAGATCCTTATTGGAAATATTTTCATCTGTAAATGACACACTACCAGACGGCAGCAACAGCAGAGACCACGGAGAAATGATAAAGCCAAGGGCAGCAGGATCAGCTATGCTTACTGGTTTGTAATCGCACAGAATAAAAGGAAAAAAGAAAGATAATTTCTCAAAATTATAATGACAGGCACTGCCGAGCACTTAAATTAGTATCCCAGCCTATTCATATTACATGGTAATTGTAAAGTTACATACACCAAGTCAAAGGAGAGTTTCATATACTGATTACTGCTCACATTATTAACAATAGTGGCTTGACTGAGCTTAATTTTTCAAAACCTACATGGCAGATCTTAGAAACTATAAATAGAGAACTTTCATTGTTGGTGTAAGATTTAAACTAGTTTAAGTACTTTATCACAGTGAGATAGATAGATACATAGGCTAGAAAGTGATAAGGATCAGTAGTTTTTAAACATTTTGGGGGGACCATGGATTCCTTTGAGAATATGGTCAACACTATGATCTCTCTTTTAAGGAAACTGCCTATAAAAACAAAACTCTGTATACAAAGGAATTCATAGATCTTGTAGCCCGTTTATTGACCCCAGGTTAAGATTCCCTAATTTATATTATAGTGGTCTGAAACTGATAGGAAATAATCAATTTGATAGTTCATCAGATTTGGAATTAGTAAAGCTTTCAAGTACAATGAAAGGCTCTTTTTGTGTGTCAAAAGATATACCTGTCTGAACTTGGATTTTGTTTTGTTAGCATTTGTTCACTATTTCTCTGAAATTTCAAGAAGCTTATATATTATCAAATATGATAATAGGTCTCTAATTTTATTTTAATGTTTACCTGTATGGGTGCCTAAGAGCTCATGTTTATAAGTATTTTAAAAAATGCCTAAGATTTCAGCAGTTCTCCTTTCAAAAGTAAACCTATACATTAGACTAAACAAAACAAACTTATTAGAGGGAAATTTATTTTGTCCTCCTATTTAAAAAATAAGTTAACATAGGTTTTAAGGTAACTGTTAAGGGAACTGGATTATAGACTCACGAAACTGCTATAGGAATATCACAGAAGGCCTGTGACCACCAGAGCCATTATTATTCGATCGGATTGGGTTATACTGATATCTAGGTCAAATCATACGAAATTGGCAAAAGTCTAGGCATCATACAGTATCTATGTATTCCTAAAAACTACCTTTTTATTGGAACTAAATCATTTATTCTTTCTGAGTTTTTAACCTCTACCTGTGGACAAGATTCTGATCTTTATGTCAATAAAGAAGTAAGCTATTAAAATTCATTCCTCCTTCGAAGATTAAAAAGCCAACTATATATATTCTCTTGCTTTTTTTATGAACCTAACTGTGTCAAGGAAGAAAATGTGTTTGAGTGAATCCTTTCATCAGTCAGCACATCTTAGGTTGCACTGAAGCAGAGTTACAGACCAAAGGTTCACACAGTCAGACCCAACCACTTACTAGTCTGCTAAAAAATATGGCTCACGTTTATGGCAAAATATGTTTCAATCACAGTTGGTAAGCCTAGAAAGATTGTTGCCTTTCACAGCCACTTTATACATTTTCTGTTAAACACTTCTTAGGTATCTCAGAACAATATTTTCTTTGTCAAAGAATACTACTCAAAATACTGAGGTATCACATGTCACTGCATTATAAAACAGTCTACAATAAATTCTTTTCAAATCAGCAACTAAAGGGCACACCAGGAGACCAGTTAGGGAGGCAGTGCACTAGTATCTGATATGAGATGATGATGGCCTGCAACCAGACTGGCAGCACTAGAGGAAGTGAGAACCTGCTAGAAACTCAATGTATTTCTGTTGAACTAGAGCAGTAGAGCCAGTGACAACAGAATTTTCTGACAGACTGGATGTGGAGTGAGGAAGAGAGGAATCAGCATGACTCCCAAGATTCTGGTCTCAGTAACAGAAAGAATGGAGGACTATCCACTGCGATAGAGAAAACTACAGATAATGCAGCTTGCTGAGGCAGCAGTTTGAAGATGGTAGCTAGAAGTAGGACTTTACTTTAGGACCTATTTAGTTTAAGATATCTGTCAGATACTCAAATGGGGTGTTGTCAAGTGGGCATTTGGATCTGGAATTTGGGAATAAGATGTCAAGAAGACACATTTTTTGGAAGTAACTTGCCTAATAGATGCTATTTAAAGCCCTGTGACTGAATGAGACCACCAAAAAGTGAGTTATGACCGAAAAGACATCAAGACCAAGGACTGAGTCCCTGGTGTATGCCCACACCAAGACTGCTCCTTCTCAGTCCTTTTCCCAGGCTCATCTTCTCTTGGTCATCCATGCAAGTATGGTGCTGTAATATCCCTACCACGCTTCTTTCATTCATCACCCTCAATCTCCACCCCACTATTTTAATTCATTCTTTTTTTAGCCCTTCTATCCAGTTCTCTAGTATCCAGCCCTAAACCTAAGACAGAAGGCTGGGATTCTAACTCTCATGTTTCATTCCTTATTTTGGGACAGAATTATTATTTCTGGCATACCTGTTACCATCTGAATTTATAAATTACTGAGAATCACAGATAACGGAGGCACAAATGCCTCCCAGAAGTCTAAATGCTATGTCCTGTTCTACCATCCTGGATGCTGGTACTCACTCAAATCAGAGAAGAGCTTGCTACACATTTCTTCCTTATCATCCCTGGCCTCAAGACTACACTTTCTCTTGACAGGGTGGCATGGAACAGAAACTGTGGGAGGTTAAAGCAAGCCATAATTGCTGATCACTCTGAAATTACTAAGAGATTTATTCACTTACCAGCACAACCAAGGTGAGAAAACATTATTCTGGCAAGAACTGTATCTTTTAACTTTTGCTGTATATAATAGGTGTTTGTTTGCTTGTTTGTTTTCTTTGAACATCTATAGTAAAACATAATTTAAGCACTATACATATTTAAACACTGGTGGCCCAGTGCACAGATTCGTACACATTGAAAGGAAATTAATTAGAAGAAAGATTTGTATGGTAATTATGTTACTGCAAAAAATTATATGTCAAAATAGTATATATAATATCTATAATAATAAAAGCGTTATATGCTAATTAGACCAGACATCCTTCCAGACGACCTTCCGGACAACCTTCTAGATGAAGCCGGGGCTGCGAGGGAAGGCTGGGTCTCAGGTGTCAGAGGGAAGGCCTACTCTTGCATGAATTTCATGCATCAGGCCTCTAGTAATATCATAAAATTAAAACACATGTGCAATTGGCGCCAGTGAGAGCTTTATATGTATCGCGCATGCGCGAGTCAATGCTTATTTTTAAATTGCCAGTGCATGTCATATGTACCGGCTGGTCGGCTGGATGGTCAGACAGACATACGGTCGGTCACTTA